CTAAATAACTGGGGATATTTCTGTCAGAGTTGTATCAGAAATTCATTAAACCTCTGAATTTGGCAATAGCAGTTGAGAGTTGTATCAGAAAATGTTCGCACAACTTCTGAGTTTGCCAATACACTGCTTTTTGAACTCTGCCTTCGGGAAGAGAGGAACTCAGACGAAGCTATGCCTACAGACAGTCTCTCATATGGGGTGTTTGACAGCCACCCGACCCTGTGTATGCGGGGTCTACGGGGAATCTTTACCCGAGCGTATGCGCTCGGAAAGCACCTACGCTTAAAATCGCCCTTGTGTCACATCCAGCCTTGTGGGGAGGACTAGTGTAAATACTGAGTTGTATAAAATATGATGAAACTAGTTGTATTGACGGGATAAGAGAAAAAAAGACAGCGATGAAAAGCGTCAGCAAATATTCCTATGGCCATGCCCCGAGATCCTTGTTCTTGCAATATATGTTGACATGTATGTAGTTGATTAGTGGAACTGAAGTGTCACACACACACACACACACACACACACACACACACACATATATATATATATATATATATATATATATATATATATATATATATATAATTTGTAATATATTGATCGATTGATCGATAGATAGATAGCAATTAATAGATTTATTCATTTCATTTTTATAGTAATAAGATAGATAGGATTAGACAGTGATATATATATATATATATATATATATATATATATATATTAGCTGGCCACTCGTCACTCGTATTTGAGGATACCGATCTACTAGGGCGGCTAGCCACTTCCTATCACACACGCTTACTCAGGCACATTTGTGGTTGTTCAACACCCACAGAGCCTACCTGTGGTGTATACTGCAACTATGCTGAGCAGACCTTAGTTACAGTTTCTGGGAGAGAGCATGTCATCTAGCGTGGTCAACAATCTGTACAAGGCTAGCACACTCAAACCCTCGGTCACGATGACTTGTGACTTCGTGCTCGCACAGCTATCGACCCCAATTGTTCCGTCTACCTAATTTCACTCACAGGGATTGGGTTAACCCGTGCCGCATGCTGAGATCGCCTCCTCCAGACCGATAACATCAACAAGTCTCCTTTCTGACAAATCAACCATGATAACCATTTGGCCACACACCAATATATATATATATATATATATATATATATATATACCACCACGCACACACACAGACACACGCCCCCCCCACACACACATATATATATATATATATATATATATATATATATATATATATATATATATATATATATATATATATATATATATATTATAGACACGTCCGTAAGTGATTACCTCACAAATCATTTTATTGCTCCAAGAGTAATTTAGCAATATGGCTTTATAACAAAAAATTTGATTTAAACATATTAAGAAAGAAAGAAATCAACTGAATTAGATTTGAACTGACTCGGATAGATAGATAGATAGATAGATAGATAGATAGATAGATAGATAGATAAAGAATGAAAGAAAGAAAGACATTGACTAAAATAGGTTTGAACCAATTTAGAAAGAAAGAAAGAAAGAAAGAAAGAAAGAAAGAAAGAAAGAAAGAAAGACAGACATAGAGTGAAATAGATTTGAACTGATTGAGACAGACAGACAGGCAGACAGACTGGGAATTAAACCGATTGAGATAAGTAGAGAGATAGCTCGGTTCCATCTTTGAGTGCGTGCTATCGTTTTTCTATTGACCATTCTTGGTACCGCCGGGGAATCTCAGATCGACATCGATCAAATGTATCAATGTTCTGCACGTGACGCCAGACGTGCCTACCATGCACGATTTTAAGTAAACAGTCGTGTTTGTTTTCGCATGGCTGACAACCTTAAACTTCACCCCTACCCCTCAACCCAGTCCTCAATCTCCATCCCCGTCTCTACAGATCGTTATTAGCCGATCTGTTTCTCACTACCAACGGAAGTGTGTGCTTCCTGCTGCTTCGTAAAGCTGATACCGAGGCTGGCGCTTAAAGTGTAGGAGAGGCCAACGTCAAATAAAGTTCAGTCATAATCTCACCCTTACTGACTTTTCTTTGCGTTAGCAAATAAAAAAAAAATTATCAGTTTTCATGGGGGCAGCTCATCTGAGACGCTAAGCAAACAAATGCACATTTTATTTAATTCAAGTTGTTTATATAACCTGTGGGTATTTAACAGCGCTGCTATCCTAGGTAGGATTTGTTAAACAAATAAACCCTGACTTTCATCCATTGTAATGGTTGTAGCTATAGTGAAACAGCAGAAGTCATTTTTTTCTTCATATACCAACTTAGATTTCTCATATACCATCTTCTTTTATGCGCCGTGTACGTCCTCAGGGCGTAAGCGATCATGGCTCTCCACAACTTCCTATCTCTTATAGCTCTTAATAAACTTTCTGTTATTTCTCCTAAACCATGTTCTGCCATCTATTACTCAAGCTCAACAATGATTTTATGAGTTATTTTCCTCTATCCCTCTTGTCCTCTATCTGTCCTGTGGGTATCTTATTTTCCAAGCCCTCCTTCCTCATTATGTTTTCCAGAAACCTCAACTGTCTCTTCCTGATAAGTATTAGTTTCCTTCTTTTTTTTTCATTTTCTCTAAAAATTCTACGTTGCTCACAAGTTCAGTCCATGGTATCCGAAGTATCCCCCCCCCCATAGAACCACATTTATGTTGCTTCAAGTTTCCTCTTCATCTTTGAGGAAATCGCTCAACACACACTAACATACAGAAGGACAGATATCACGTAGCAGTTCTTTGTTTCTAGCGAAATTTTTCAGTATTACCATATTATAGGGTATGCGTAGCGTAGTGGTTATAGGCACGGAGAGTAGGATTGGAGTGTCTAGATCTAATCCCAGCTGAAGGCATAGCGTTCCGTTTTGCACAAATATCTTTTGAAAGATGTTGTATCCTTAAAGAGGTTACAAACAGACAAAGGTGGTACTCGAGTGAAAGGAACAGCAACATGGGTGTAGATGAAAGAAAGAGAGGTTTATTGTAAAAGAGAATACACTACTGAAAGACAGTGAATCAGTTAGCAGTCTAGTAATTCCCAAAGCCAGACTCAGGTATGTCCTGTGCACACTATATATATTTACTGATATAGTCAGTACACAATAGGCAATAGGGAGAGTGGAACATTCCATTACAACAAAAGATATGATTCCGTTCCTTCTCCTCCAAGATAGGTTAGACTGAACACTTTGATTGGTTACCAGTCTTGGGGAAGGAGGAATCTAAATTCAAAACCGATTGGATAAGTTTACCTCATAAAAAGATATTAAAACTGACGGAGTTAAAGATGGAGAATGAATCGACTGACCATTAACATTTGTTCGTTGATTAACAGCAGAAATAAGAGATAAACATCCTAAACATCTTAATTGGTTCAGCCTACACCATTTTATCTGAAAGATTAAAATTGCACAAAACTTCTGTTTATAGGATACTGAAACTGTTGTGTTCAGATCAGCAACAGATAAAAGAGAAATTTTAAATGTAGATTTTAAACAAATTGGATCAAAATCCTGAAGGTTTTCTGTTTGATTGATTTGTTTGTTTAATGGTAAATCAACTCCTTATGGGTCATCTAATGCCGAAATTGAATTTTCTTGGGAGCTTTGATTTGATTTGTTTGTTTAAAGGCATATCAACTCCTAATGGGTCATTTACTACCAAAATTTAATTTTCTTGGCAACTTTAAAGTAATAAAAATATGCTATAAGTTATTCTGCTTTCGCAATTGAATACATGGTAGATGATACTCAGCTTTTGTAAATATACATATTTGGGTGGACATAATTACTAGAGGCGGTGATATGCGCCTTTTATATTGTAGTTTTGTTGAAGTTTTGTAATACAGTTTTATTTCTTTAAGAAACTGTAGGATATTATATGGATTAATGCCAAAAAAAATAGTTTTTCATCTTAGTAGCTTAGGTTGGTTGGTTGATTTATTGGTTTCGTTTAGAGGCATAACAACACCTCTATGAGTTATTTAATGTCAAGATCTAAATATTTTCAACACAATTTTATGGCTACAACTAACTATATTTTGAACGTAATTATTAGCCTTCAGCTACAGATCAAATGTATTGTTGGTCATTTTGCTATTCAATGTATTGTTGGTCATTTTAATATAAAATCTATTGTTGGTCATTTTGCTATAAAATGTATTGTTGGTATTTTTTTAATATAAAAATATATTGCTGGTATTTTTACCATAATAATGTATTTTTAAACTTTCATAGTGTTTTGTTTTTGTTTGAGGGGTTCGCTATTTCTCTATACATGGGACCTTAACAGTTACTACCACCCCGTGTCAGAATGGACCTGGGAACAAGAACAATTAATTGGTGGTTCCACACTCCTCAAAACCTCCAATCTCTCAATCAGAGGACTTGCTGCCGGATGTAGTTTATTATCATACACAGAAATTTGAAAGTTTCCGAAGGCGAATTGTAACTGGCGATGAAAACTGGCAGGAGGCTAAAGTAAAACAAAACAATTGCCACTCAAATGTGGAAATAGTCCATTCAATATAAAAGGAAGCCAATGAAGAGGAAAATTAATGTCGATAATTTCCTGGTATACTGAGGATATTTTGCTACTTGATTTTTTAGAAAGGGAGTGAGAGTAATATCTTTACACTATGAAACTATGGTGAGAAAATTAGCTAACAAATTAGCTAGGATTATTGATGGGCTATTTCGTGTTTTTTTTTTATTTTTTTATTTTTTATTTTGCAGGTTATTTAAAAACCAGAAAATAAATTATAATATTTTTTAAATTTTTTTTGTTTTGGGGAAATAATAATGATTTAAGGATACAAGACCTACTAATTAGCTAGGGCAGAAGAGGTGAATTCATACCTTTCCCAAGAGTATTTACGCGTAAGAGAATATAACGAACCTAACTGAATATGGAACTTGGCTCTCTGATTAACAATTTCATGCTATTATCCATTGCACCAACCTCACATCCAAGCAAACAGTACCTATTATCTCCAATCCGTCACCCATCTTAGTAGAGACTGGGTTCGACGTTGCTTAACTTCAGTGATCGTACGGGAACCGGTGTTTCAACATGATATGAACGTCAGTCCAGATTTTGGTAAATTTTAAGTTGTCTTTTTCGGCGTTGTTGGCTGCAATCAGTTTGTTGATTTTCAATTTCAGTTGGTTAATAGAATTTTTGTTGACTTTTTAAGCTTGGTGTGATTGTCAAGTATTTGTTGTAATTTTGAATTATAATCAGATTAATTTAACACGACGAAGACATTGGGTTTATGTGCTTTTTTTTAAAATTATATGAGTAACAGAATGCAGATAAAACCAGTATCTTCGTTGTAAAAATAAAATATAGTCTATGGAACCTTAAGGTGGTCTGTTTTTTTTTTTTAATTTAACTAATATTCGCTCTTTTTTTTACATTGTGCTCTCCGGATAACATCCTCCTTGGGATTATCCATACGGATTACCAAACATTTCATTACCTAACTACATATATATATTGAAATCTTAATTATTATTAGTAGGTGTTATGGTATTTCACAATCTTTAACATTAGTCGTATTTAGCTGATTTCGGTGGAGATTTATTGACCATAATTTTATAAAATTTTTGAATATTCCTTTGATATATTCTTTGATTCTTGTAATTTTATTTGCGGTGGTTTGATCCGCGTTATATCATCTATGAATGGTTCTCGAAACGACTCCCAGTGATCAGAGATATGTCATTTATTCTGAGGTTACATTTTTTTTATTTTTCGGTTTAGGCTTAATTAACCATTTTTTGATCCTGAATTAACATCAGTAGAGACAGAAAGGAAAACTTCGGTAGAGTTCTTCATTTACTATTTAAATATGTCTATGAGTTAGCAGGACAGACTGTGTTTTCTAGCCTTGGTTGGCAATCAGTTTAGGAGAACAACAAATTTGAATTCAAAGCCAGCCTGAAGAGGAATGGGTTATTTCTTACTATAGACTCAGCGAATGATGTAACTACTGCAATACATGGTGCACTTACGACTCCCAGGAATTACGGGACTCGTGTGCGTAATTTGTAAATCTGCTATTTTTTACAATTTGAAGAGGAATTTACTTTGTTGGCATTGATGATCTGTCCACTTTTCGCAAGAGTTATTTTCCTTCACATAGAAGAAGAAGAAGAAGAAGAAGAAGAAGATGAAGAAGAAGATGAAGAAGATGAAGAAGAAGACGAAGAAGAAGATGAAGAAGTAGTAGTAGTAGTAGTAGTAGTTTAAATTCTCTACACAAGCAATGATATACAGAAAAAGCATCCTCGTCCACGTCGGAGTCTGTTCTTAGGAAAGGGTGGTTCGACACCGTGGACATAGTGTGGCGTATCTTAGCTTTAAAGGTCTCCACTGTTTGAGCATAGAAAGATGTGGAGAGCTATGATCGTCTACGTTAAGACGAGACCCGACATAACATAGAAATTCAAACAAAAATTATATGAATATTTTTAAGGCAAAAATTTTTTAATCATGGCAATTTTCTTTATCAACAAACAATTATGTTTCATCTTCAGGATAAACACTGTCTCGTTCAGATTAATATAAAATGCTTTCTTCATTATTCGCCGCTTTTTTTAACAGTATTCAAATGATGAAAACCTATAGTCTACAAACCAGTTGCTACAAGCCATTCGTGATAATGGCTGACACGAATATTTTCTGACGCTGTCTTCTTGCTTTCTTGGTTTGCTCTTTTAAAACTCTTGTCTTTTGACTTGGTTTCTGTTATTCCTGTCATTATTACCAAAATCGTTAATGCCAACTTCGGAATCGGTAATGTTCTTAATACGGAAAATATTTCGTTCATCAAAATTGAATTAGTTCTTTACATTATTGCCTTTCGTAATTATTGTCATTACGTCATTATTTTTACCCTGGCTGTACATTATAAGAATGTTATTAAAGTCATTATGTTATTTTCTATGATGTCCATATTTAAGTTTATTATTTCTCTTTACGTTATACTGTTGTTTGATGATGCCATGTCCCTTTTCAACAGAAGACACTTGAGATAGCGTAGATTTTACAAGCACGATGATATCATATACGTAAGAAACTTCGAGTTCAAAGTTGGTGCCGATGATAGTTTTAACGACTTTTCCAGTTTTTGGTAGGAACACCCCACCCCCTCGATAATGGAAACAGCAAGAAATGGTCCTGAGAGGCCAATCATCCTGAAAAAGTGTTTTAAGTGAAAATAATATGTAATACCATCAGTGACTCATTCTGGAATTTCATTGGGGTTACTAATTAGCATTGATAAAGTTTGTGCAGGAGTTTTATGAATTGATTACAGATGATAGGCTCAAAAGATGTGTACCTTGTCATTTCCTGGGGATTTCCATTTTGGGGATATAATTACAGATTGCCTAATATCATTCTTGGTTATATTTTTCCATTCCTTGCGCAGGTTTATTCCTCACTCTTTCTTGTTCTCATCTGATCTGCGTTGGGATTAGATTCATTTTGGGTTGCTCAAAATATTCTTCCAAAATGTCTGCACTTCTGCAAAACATGATGGCTTTTTGACTTCTATAACCGCTTCTACAATTTCCCTGTAAAACTTTTTGAGGTTCGTTTGAAATATCTTATTTTCTCGATTTCCATATTCTCTTGTTGTTGGTGGTGTCGTTGTTCATTTTCTTCTTCCTCTTCTTCTTCTTCTTCTTCTTCTTCTTATTATTATTATTATTATTATTATTATTATTATTATTATTATTATTTACCTAATACAAATCCCAAGACCAACTGCAGGCAAAAGGCTATTGAATAAGCTTATTGTATGGACGCAGGAGGAAGACGTAATTGCAGGTTATGAGGATATATAGGATAGATAGCTGTTGACTCTGGGCTTAAAGATTGCAATAATCAAGGAAGTATCTTTTCGGGAGTCTATTATTATTTTAATAATAATAATATTAATATTTATCGCAAAACCGGGCACAAGTCCCGTGACCCATTTCGGTTGTAGGGGCACCACGTGTACTGCAGCAGAAGTGATGTGTCTTGGGCAAGATAGCCTGACGGAGCCCAACCCTCTCTGGTGTGAATTAAGAGTTTTCCTTCTCCTAGACCGGTTGCCGCCCCGCCCCCCGCAAGTCTAAAGAACACAGTCTGCCCTGCTATTTACTCATAGCTGGGTGGAGAAGAGATGAATTCATATATTTTCCAAAGCTATTAATTAGCATGCAAGTGACTCTAATGAATTCGACTGGAATTCGAACTCAGTTCTCTGATTCCTCAGTCCGAGCCGCAAAATCTGTCATGCCACCATTTTCCTGGAAATGTGAGCAAAGAACAAGCTTTCCAAAACCAGTGAACTGAGGCGGTACACTTTCATTATTATTTGACAATACTTTAGAGATGACAAGTAATTCCAACGTGTACAGTCTTCTGCAAAGTGTCCAGTCTTGACATTGACCCACCGATCTTCTACCGCCAATTCGTCAGTTCATTTCTTTTGGTGACTACGTCACTAATAACAATGGCAATTATTTCCATTCTCATCGTTAACAATAAGTTGTACACTTCGTATTTTAAACTATCATTGTTTTCATGTTTTTCCTCATCTTTTTCGATAACTCTCTAGTCTCCGACGCAGGCAATATTCATGATGAGGCATTTTCTTTCGTCTTTAACACACACCATAATATTCGTTTCTTTCTCATAGTCACACTGGATAATAAACATCCATTTAATTTTGTACTTGACATTTTCAGTTAGACTTTCTGCAGTTTGGCCATACCGAAAATCTATCCTTCGACTTCGAATATTATTATTGTGTTTTGGTTTGAAGAATCAGTCTGAATGGTATTTTCTTCTTGCCAACGGAATTAGAAAGGAATGATGATTCGACTCGTTGTACCTGGCATAACGGGTCTCAACTATAAAGGTTTGTACTGGTGGGACTAAGGAACACAGCTCATGTGCCATGGACATAGCGATCGAATAGCGATAGGTTTGTGAAGTTTCGACGGTAAGAAAAGGACTGTAGGTTAGAATATAATTCATCACCCACAATGTCTTGAACGCTGCCAAGGGTGGAAAGGGAAGATTGGTAGTTACAACCCAAAATATGACAACAATATTCCTTTTTCGACTCTTGCAATCACTGGATATTAACACCAGTTGTTATTGGCGGATTAAGCTTTAGTTCAAATTACTGTACAGCGAAAATTTCCTTTGTATTTACCAGAGCTATCTGGTGGTCACTGGTTGGGATGAAATAAAAGTAAGTATCCTCAAATCTACAATAACCACTGGTAAATTCTTGCTAACTGTTGTGGTCGGATACGTAAATTAGTAGCCCGATTGGACCGTGCAGGAGATAAAGTGTCGAAGGATAAAGTGTCGAAAGATAAAATGTCGAAGGACAAAGTGTCGAACAAAACAACAGAAATAAATGGCAACCTACTGCGGGAAAAAAATCTGCCCCGTCAGTCATGTATCGAAAGATACATGATCGCCTAAGCGTGTATCACGCATGGCACATAACTGACTGATTGCATAGAGTATAAAGATGCTCGGCCTTAGGGTATTTGGATAATTCTTAGTGAAACACTGTCAAAATCCAATCATCTTTAATTTTGTTTTCAAGAGAAATCCAATATAATTATCAACCCAAAAAGTAATTTAGGGTTTTCTTTAAAATTGTTTCTAGATCTTTATGGTTAACAAGCTTGGACAAAGATTGAAACTAACTCTCTACAACAATCATCTCGGCTTTCCTTTTGTCAGTAGCAAATAGCGCTGACAGACAGCTTGCAAGTAAACTCGCCCCTTGGGTCAAATATTACGAGAAACAAGAGTTGAGCGCCTAAACTCATGTCACTGGTTTTGTGTGTTTGAAATTGACTACAAGAACCTAGAGATAGTTTATCGTCGCATCACTTCCTTTGTGACACTGTATTTACTGAATTTAGAATCAGGGTCAGATGTTCGAAAAATTTGATAAATAGATTTAAATGAGCGGTTTGAGGCAAAATTCTGAAGTAAGGTCTATTGTGACAGGTTCATTGAACACTTATTGATTTATTGAATAATGTCGCTCTAGTTATTGACTGGACACTGTTTTGAAAAAAGAACTCTTCTGAATTTAAAATACGTTAATTTTAGTCATTTCTACTTATTTTAATTGGTTTGTTTGTGTTTTGTTATTATTACTAGACAGATATAAATGTACAAATTTATGTAACCATAACTTTATGTTATGCATCTCGACTTATTCGCTAATAAAAAATATAGCATGATGTAAAAAGGCTCCGAACTTAATAAAAGCAAAGTTTTTAGTCAAAAATTTTATTATTAAAAGGAAAGACTAAAGTATATTTTTCACTTTTTTAGTCCTTTCTTCCGCCTTCGAAATTTTGGATATTTTTTTTTTTCGCGACAGCAGTGCAACAAAGCTGACTATGAAAATTTTAGCGCCTTTTTTCTCGTAAAATAACAGATTGATTTAGAAGTTCTTGCAACCATTCATACATGTATCTCCGTCTATCTCTCCTCATTTCTATAAGCTATCTCTTCTTTCTCACTCGCTCTCCATCCTCCCAAGACTGTGGTGTACTCGATAGCATTTCCGATAATATAGACAAAGCTGTCTCTCTACATCCGCCTGCAAACATATTTGTTTTTCGGTGACTTTCCTTAGAGATTGTAAATCATACTTTTTTTTCGAGTAGTTACTGTTTTCCTGAAAATATGCTCCGAATAGTAACATAAAAAATGCAATAAAACTATGACATTATTTAATTAGATAAGCTTTTAATTGCTTTTATAAATAATAAGGATATTAGAGTCTTATGAAAAAAAAACTTCGATGAATAATGAATTTTTACAAGGATGTTTTGCATTTTAATTATAATAGTTTATAATGCTTCAAATATTTTAAACATTCTGCACGACTTAGGTTAAGCTATTAAGGGAAGACTATATTCACTAAGCGAAAATTGCAAAGCTTAATACAAATCATCACGTACTAAAACTTTTTAAATAATTTTTAATTTTTTTATGTGTATAAACGCACCCATTTTGAAAGTATGTGTGACCATATACGATATTATTAGAAAATAAGAGCGATGACTATAGTAAATTTAAAGTCAACATTCGTAAAATTAGATGACGTAGAATATCTTCCAACAATTTTAAGATTACAGGGTACTTAAAAAATATATATATAAAAAAAGGCGTTCACCCGTCATTTTCTTAAATTATGTTTTAACAGATAAAGTCTCTGTGCAACAACAATAAATATGTCAACACCTTATCAGCACTTGTCTAGCATGTAAACAAGTACGTAATCATCGCTACTGTTTGTTTTAAAAATCGATTCCGCTGTAATTTTAAATTTAAAGTAAATAATATTTGCTTCAAATCAGATTAATTATTGTTTAAATCAGTTAATGTTCCTCAAATAAAGTTTCAGAAAAGTATATTTTATGTTTGAAAGATTTTTTAATACATAGAATTATATTGTGAGCTTTTTAGCCCCCTCAAAAAAGAATCGATTTCCAATCAATATAATTTCTGTTTGAAATACACTACAGAATATTTTGCTTATTGGAAATAGTAAATTTAATCCTTTAGCTTTCAATTAAAGTTAAAAATGAAAGATTCAAGAAAGCCTTTTCATTTCTAAAAATTCATTTAAAACATTAGGTATTGCGAATTGTCGCGAATTAGTCGCGGTATCTACTATATGTATACACACACACACAGACACACACACATACACACATAAATATATTTATGTGTGTGTATATATATATATATATATATATATATAAGCATTTCACCCACAGCAAAGTGGGAGTGCCATTAGCACACAAGGGGTTACAGAGTGTGAGAGAGCAAGAGTAAAGAGGGGGGTGTTTGAGGAAAGGATATAAAGAAGGACGGGGATCAGGATCATGGCATCAGAAGATCTCGATTGACATTACATTTGAATAGTTGAAGATTATAGCTATCAGGGAAACAAGTAGGAGGAAGGGAGTTCCACTGTCAGGAAGTGTAAGAGAAGAAGTTGTTGAAGTATAAAGTATCATATATATATATATATATATATATATATATATATATATATATATATATGTTATGGGACCTTACCCATAATAACATAATGGACTATTCCATACGTAATAAATACTGCGCCTCAAGAGGAAGCAGGGAGTTCCGTCTGAAGTCTGAGTTCAGTCTGAAGTCTGGAGTGAAGTCCGTCAGGAGTCAGTCAGTCGAGTTGTAGGCAGTCCCAACAGAGTCGCGTGCAGACAATTACTACTAAACCTGATTGTTCGTACTAACACTTTTCTACCTCTCTGTATATATTCCTGTTTCTAATATATCTGTGTTATTCCATATCCGCCTTCGAGTACTTCTTTATTGGTTCTACCTTGGAATATCACTATGGTACAAGGAACCGGACCATAACAATATATATATATATATATATATATATATATATATATATATATATATATATATATATATGGTCATCCACAGACAGACTGTTTCGCTGTATCACAGCTCATCAGTGTGGTTAGACGTTGCCTCTAGCTAGGATCGAAATCCGGCTGAATTGGCGTCAGTCGGAGATTTTACCCCTAAGCCGTTGGCGCACGACAGGGAAGAAGGTGAATTTAAGCGTATTTATTTTTAGATAAACACACAGTGACTGCGAGAACTCGATTTATATATACACACACACACACATGTAAAGAAATATGAGGTCTGATCAAAAGTATCCTAACTGTTGCTTTGGTAATGGAACTAAAGTACGCAAAGTGAAGCCACTTGGCACAGCTCAACCTTGAACTTTGTCACCTTTATAACGTTCTCGTTCACTTCCTTTTTTTTATTGGAAGGAAAGTGTGTAGAGTGTAGTCGTCTCACTACACCAAAGAGGTTTCATCAGTAACCATGGCTTGTGCAGTAGTTTGGAACCAAGGACAGCATACCCCAGGTATAGCATCTATCATATTCCCTAAATCTTACCCCTTCCGAGTTTTCCTCTTCAAAAATCAAATCCTACTCGAAGTGACCAAGATTTCAAGACCGAGAAAACCGAAGAGAATACGATGAAGCAGCTGTTCACTATCCCTAAAAAGCAATTTCACGAATAAGTTCATCAATTGAAACGATGTGTATGGCTTAGGAGGGGGCAACTTCGAAGGAGATTAAATGCTTAATTGATATATGTCGTAGTTTTCTTTTTATAGCACAATCCTGATACTTATTTTTATCAGAGCTCCTGTATTTAGTAAAAGTAGATACATATTCTTACTTTTCTTCCGTATATTTATATATTTTGATTTTTGTTCTTCTTCATGTATTTGATATTGATAAGAATAATAATAGTGTTGTAAAAGATTTTCTAGTTCTAATCTTTTCAGAAAATAATTCCTCTTTGTTCATGCAGTAAATGGGCGGTATACATTTGGCATTAAAACTTTTACAAGCTTTTACATGAAACTTTCATTACATATTTTTCATTTAAAAAGTATAAACGCCAGTATTTATATAAATGTTTTATTTCTTTGACGCTGCGAATGCAAAACGCCTTCGGCATTTGGTGTTGGATTTAGTTGTTCGATTCAAGATGGCAGATTGTTATCCGGTGGCGAAAAGGATTAGGTTTTAAAAGAATGATTGCAGACGGCCAAAAGTGTCCAGTGATTTGGATATGGAAGCCAGAGGTTAGACTGTGATGAATATGGAATAAGCACAACTCTTTCTCTTTATTCTCTCTCTCTCTCTTTCTCTTTTACTTTCTTTCTCTTTTCCTCTCTATCTAAGAATTTCTCTTTTTCTATTTCCCCCTCTGCCTCCCCAGCTTCTGATTCCCTTTTTCTCTTTGTAAATCTCTTCTCAAATAAACCTCTATGCCGCTTTTCTCACCCGTCAAAATTTCACTGGGGATGTAAGCGATTGACATTCAGGTCACCCGAAAATGGCGTCTTGATGGTCGATTTCGGGATCCGGGAAGCTTTGCGCATGTATAGAAAGTCAGCGCGGGAAACTGCTGGTACACACCAGCACCGCTTTCCACCAGCGTCTATTAGATGCAAGGAAAGAAAATGGTGGACCTAAAGTCGATTCATGCAGACGCTTCAGAGAATCTCCGTCTGCCTACGCAGCAGTCGCCATTACCGCCGGAATGATTGGCTATAGTTCAGTGTGGAGGCTGGAGTGGATCTCGTAATCCGTACTTGGATGTCATAAGTAACTTTAAATTCTATTTCTCTCCTCAAGGTCGCTCTAGCCTGTTCTTTCATTCATCAATTTCTACTAGTGGTTTCTTCAACTCACAATGTATTCGCAAGATTGGTATTTCGAAACCCGTGGAACATTTTATCAACCATAGGTTAGAAAGCCCGATTCAACTTAAAGCACTTTTATTATGTTTAGAAGTCGGATTAGTGGCATCGGGTTTAGGTCTATTCTCAGTACCAAGTCGATGATACTCGTTATCAGAGTATCTTCCCCTCCATGATAACTGCATTCAATTCAAATAACCTATTTAAACTCCAAAGTCCCATATAAAATTACTTTTTCCATTTGGTTGTTTATGAAAACAATTCGTTACTTCATCAGACTTCTGGCGTTTTTTCCTTTTTTTTTTTTTTACTTTCTTATGTTGGTTTAAGGCCACATCACGTTGAGACACCGGTTCCTGTACGATCACCGAATTTAAACAACGTCGAGCCAGGTCAGTACCTAAATGGGTGACAACTTGAGAATACCAGGTTCTGTAAACTTGGATCTGTTAGTGGTGTAATGGATAATGGCTCGGAATTGTTAATCGAAGAGCAGAGTTCCAATTCTTTTTGGGTTCGTTATATTTAGTTACGTACAAATACACTTGGGAAAGTTATGAATCCACCAGTTTCCCCCCTAGCTATGGGGTAATTGGTGAGACTCGTATCATTAAACCATTATTATCTAAAAAAAATCCTTACAACTTAAATATATTTTCTGGCTATAAATAGACTGCAAAGGGGTGATAATCCGTAGAAAACGAATCAATCAAACCAAAATTTCCAATGGATCACTGTTCCTACCCATTTGTACGAGGTTTTGTACTTTTTTTAATCTAATTCTTTCCATTCAATTATTGTGTCATGGAGGATTTTATTTGAAGACAAACACATCTCTAAATGAAAAAAAAAGGGTATATATCTAAAACGATAGAAAGAGAAAAAACTAAATAAAATATTTAAGAAACGCATTTATGACAGAGAAATGTAAGAAACACATATTTAAAAAGAATAAATGCTTTATAATTAAAGCAAAAAAAATTTCATTTTTGCTCCTTTTGTATCAACTAAGCAATGCATATCCAAAAATTGATTGATTTGTTTTTTTGTTTTTTTACGGCTTATGAATCTTTGCAGGGTATTTAAAGCCAGAGAACATTTCTGTAAGATTTTTTATATATATATAATAAAGATATAGGGATACAACTCTTACTAATCAACCCATATGTGGGGTAAGAAGGGGAAGATTCATACCTTTTTCATAGGGTATTTGCGCGTAAGTTAATCTAACGAACTCAGCTGGAATCGCAACCCGGCTTTTCGATTAACAATTTCGAGCCGTTATCCATTACACCACCCGCACATCCAAGCTTATAGCAAAATGATTTCCAAGCGGTCACCCATCGAGGTACTGACTAGAGTCGACGTTTTTTGATCGTACGGGAACCAATGTTTCAATGCGATATGGTTGTAAGCCCCATATCCAAAAAGAAACAAAATTGAAATTTATAAAATATATTTAATACCAAAAGACTCTTTAAACATTTTAAATTACAACCAAAAATGTATATACTATCATATTTTTTTTCTTAATCGATTTCACTATTGCTTTGCTTAGAGTGAAAGGATACAAAGAGTTACTAGAACACAAGGTCACAAGGGGTTACTGTACAACTGTACTGATGCGGCATTCACCCTGGGCGGATTGAGCCGGCTTCTTCCTGTTATGAGAAGAAGATTCTTGGGATAAATTACAGAAGTAGGGTACCCAGGCCTACTCGAAGGGGTTACTGAATGTGGAAGAATTAGAAAACAGAAACTTGAGGAGGAAGAATAAAAGAAGAGTAATCAGGAGGTCAGCAGATAGCGATTGATAGTGCATTTAAATTTGTGAAGATTAAAGTTAGCTGGAAAGCATGGAGCTGGAAGAGAGTTTCACAATCGAGAAATGCATGAGAAGAAAATGTTAGCAAAGAACATTTATACATCTAACCAACTGAACAGTAAATTGATAAGATCTTTACGCTAGTCTAGTACTGCGCTTAAATTCATATAGTCTATGTGTCCTAGCGAAAGCGATATTTATTCTATTTAATACAGAAATGTGGCACAAGGCCGTGGGGGGGAAAGGACGCTCTTCTCCTGTCTTAACTATAACTTAGCTACCCGCAAACACCGACCCAATCGTGTGAACAATATTCCTTACACCAAAACAACACATTCATAAGTAGGAAAGCTCACCCCGAACATTTGCGATGAAAGTATTTATAGAAAAGGCACAAGGCGATGAGAAAGTAACTGAAGCCGAGATGCCATAATAATAATATAACTGTTTCTTCTTTACATTATTCGGACTATTGTCGCCATATTTATTACAACTGGGGTAGACTTTTCTAGTTCCATGTGCCATGTTTAATGGATTTATTTATCTTCTGTTAATTCCCCTCTCCAAGTTGTCCACTGCCTTAAGCGGGTATTGAACTCACACTCTGGATCTAATCAACGTCTTTATCCACTGTGCCATGTGCCCTTGAGGACATCTGTGTATGAATTTCTGGGTATTATAAACCTAATGTCATCAGCTTCATTTTTTACCAGTGCTCATTTTTTGCTGTTGTCAAAACTGTTTTTACCAGAGCTCATATTGCATTTTTTTGTTATTATTGCTTTTCTCTGGCACTCCTTATTACCGGTTCCCATATTGTATTTATTTCTATGCTTTATCAAGAATCTCTACATGATATGTCAATAAATCACGTTAACACACAGTCTCCAGTATTTTAGGATTAAATCTTCTATACTTTGCTTTCATGAATTCATAGCATGTGATTGTATTATTGGGTTGGTGCAAAAATAATGACGTAATAATGTCGTTTTTTTGACGTATTTTTTAACGTCAAAAACGACATTATTACGTCATTATTTTTGCACCAACCTAATACATTATAGAAGATCGTTTCCGGTTTTGATTCGAATTATTATTCGAGCCATTTTTTTTTTATATTATGTAATTCTTGTAATCGATGACCAGAAAATGCGCGTGACCCGGAAAGAAAACAGAGATAAACTAAAGGTGACAATTTTAAAATACGCGTCATATATAAAATAATTTCGCATTCCCCCTCAATGATAATTTGCTATGTCACATTTGCAACATGAATATAAGTCTTGTCACCGATCGATATCCATGCCAAGAAAAATTCCATTTTCTATCCGAGCGCATAATTCAAACAAGTTAATTACTCTTGGAAATTTGTTTTTTTTTTTTTTATCAACTCCTTATGAGTCATTTAATGCTGAAATTTAATTTTCTTAGGAGTTTTGAAGTAATAAAATATGTCATTCTGCTTTCACACTTGAATACATTTTAGATGATACTCAGCCTTTGTGCATATATATGTTTGTGTAAGCATAATTACTGTAGGCGGTAATATGAGAGTTTTATGTTATAGTTTTGTTGAAGTTATATTTTGGAATACAGTTCGATTTAAGAAATTATAGGACATTAGATTAATGTCATGAAAGAGTTCTTTCATGTTGGTTGTTTGACTTTGTTTAGCGACATATCCAACACCTTTATGGGTTATTTAATGCCGAAACCCAAATATTTTGGACGCAATTATATACCTTCAACTAAAGATAAAATATATTGTTATTCATTTTATTATGAACAGGTATTGTTGGTAATTTTTTATAGAAAATTTATTGCTGGTATTTTTACTATAAAAATGTATTTTTATACTTTCATAGTGTTTTGCCTTTGTTTGGGGGTTCATTATTTGTCCATAGCTGGGACTCTATCAAATGTACCATCCCGGGGTAAGGGTGGACCTGGGAACAACAGCAATCAAGAGATGTTTCTACTGTCCTCAATATCTCCAATCTTCCGATTGGAGATCTTGCTGTCGGATTTAGTTTATCGTCATACCCAGAACTAGGTAACTTTGTCGAATAATTGTTTAAATATAAAATTTCTATAAACATTTATAAATAAAAATAATTTCTTTACGTCTCATTAAATTCTAATGAATTATTCTCTTTTAATTTTACCGGTGAGAGAAAAAAATTTCCCGGTAGGTTTCATTGAAGTTGAGATGGCTAAGGTATTTTTTGCACATGGCAACGATTCTCTTCTTTTCTAGATTCTTGTATTAAATCCATTTTATTTCCAGTGACTATCAGACCCATGAAAACCATTATTCTTTAATAATAATAAAAAATAATTGTTCATTCACTGATGGATATTTGCGTCCGTATGGATGGAAGACATTTCTTTGTGCTTTTTGATCTTTATTAAGGCTTGTAAATGAGGTTTTCTCTTTTTTATGTAGTGTGTCTCTTCAGAACGTGAGCAATCACGGCTCCCCACAGCTTCTTATAAATCTAACCCCTCTTTGTCTCCATTATTCCATCTATTCCCACAAACCCTTTAGTTAGTTTACTAGCTGTCTTCCTTTGCCCCTCCCAACTGCAAGATGCCCAGTGTGTATTAAGTTTTCCAAACCCACTTTCTTCATTATGTGCCCCAGATATTTCAACGATCTATTTCTGATTGTATATATATAAATGACCTTTTAATTGCGATTTTCTTTTAAAAAAACAAACAAAAAAAAACTACATTATTAAATTCAACATATTCTCAGCATCTCTCAGGTAGAACAAAAATCCTGTTGCTTCCAGTTGCTCTTCATCTGCGAGGAAACTGTGGTGCCTTCCCTGTCATGTAAAAAAGATAGATATGGCATCGAAGTTCAGCAATGTTTCTAATGAAAATTTCCAATTTCTTAATACTTTACTTAGTTTCTAGAAGGTATATTTCTCTATTACAATGAACCTCCCAAATTCTGAGTTACATTTTCTATCTCTCTGATAGTTAAATTGCTGTAAATGATTTTGACGTCTCCATTTCCTAGGTCACACATTGGGATTCCCTTTCGCTAACGACCAAATCATTCTGTTTTCATAAGGTTAATAGTTAGTCTTTTCTTCTCACATTCCTTTACTACTTTTTTTAAGAAAGGTTGATATATTGCATCAACAATAAGGTGAGAAGTGTAAGGAAGGTGGTGTACCACTTAAATAATAACACGAGACTTGAATCTTTCATACTTGACATTACATATTATTCTCGAGCATTGTGGGTTTAAAGCGGCCACCCGAAGCCCTGGCTTTATACGTGGACCTTACATTCACCACCGGCGGTGTGTGAGAGTCTACCATTTTATGTAACAGCGGGTTTTAAAAAATCTTGCTCATGTCTGCAGACCGGCCGCATGTGATTCCGCACTCGATGTCCAGGATTGACCTCTGTTGCACTCAGCTTTCTTAATATTTGGTAGAAATTGTGTACAATGTCTATTCTGGTGTTACATCACAAAAGTAAACTTAAATGACACTTAAAGATTTTTCTGGTCAAAATATGAAGCTGGTAATTTTAAGAATAACTATTTATACACTTCGTTGCGCGCATTAATACATTTTGTTCTGTGTACGTAAG